ATTCAAGAATAGAAGTTAAAATAAATATCTAACGCAAAAATATTTTAGGCATTAATCTCATAACATTGTATGTAGAAAGAGAGGTCTTATCTAACATTTATCTAACTTTCTTCCAAGGATGTGATGTAATGTCATTCAGTCAGTAGACATAAAAAGAAAAAAAAAAAAAAAACTTAAGCTGAAAAATAGAAAATAAAATAAGAATGCAGTTCTGTAATTGTCTAGGCAATTTATTCTACCATTGAATAAGCATATACAAAATGGTCAGAGAAAGCAAACTTTAGACTGTCTGCTTACCTAGGAGAAGATAAAGGTGAATTTAGGTATTTCTAAATGCCTCTAAACATCTCTGGAGGTCATAGATATGCCTTCATTTGTTGTGTCACACCTGAGAAAATTCTCTTTATTGAGATGGCATTTACTTTAAAAGGATTCAATTTGCCATTGGTTTCACCCGAATGATACAAAAATGTAAATAAAAGCTTTTGTGAAAAGTCCCTTAAAATAACTGCTATGTGATTAGGAATTAATCTCCTTGATAAATTCCAATTAACTATGTAATAGATCTAGTTTTAAACTAGTCTGTGTTCCATACTCTGATGATTATCTATATGTAAAATAATGTCACCGAATTACAGGAATAATTTACTGTTAGAAATAATTACTTTGTGACCCAATATCATCAAATATTTTTTATATCTTAGTGTAAGGAGGGCAGTTTATGCAATAAATATGACAAATGTAGAAACTGTATAATTATTAAGGAATCCACTAAATGCACCTTAGATAATTAAGAAACGATAGTGTGGTACAAAGCTGAATTTTAAATCTCTAAATAGTTTCGAGTACATAATGATATACTAATGAGTAAAATTAGAATTATTAAAGATTATTAGAATGTCTATTCATTATTAAGAACGATTCCATGAAGAGCTAGGTAGAATTCTTAAATGCTATTGAAATATAAATTAGTTATCACAATTAGTTGAACTGTATTATTTACTCTTTCCACAAATATTTCTTTATTGTATGCATGACACTACATATGGAATTGAAGTGAAATATAAAGAAGTATAATTACAGGGTTCCTTTATGTGATTGGTGATGAGAAAAATATATGTGGGTGACATTAAGGCATATGGCGAAAAGAATGTATGTAATGTAATTTACAGGGTGAAGTGGAAAGATTTGGGGGAAGCTAGACATAAAACTAGTAGAAGAATAATATTGAATGCCACAAGAAAGTGCCTGTGTTTTATTCTGGGGACAATTGGAGTTATAATGATCTCAAGTCAGAAAGATCAGCATAAAAGTGACATTTTAGATAAAGTGGTTTGAAGTAGATTAATCAGAAAGAGGGGCAAGTCTCACCACAATGAGGTATATTGCTTAGGTTATGGAGTTGGCCGTTAGAATGATTGGAATGTAATTAATAATAATAAATAAGGAGCAAGGTCAGAGACAGAGATTGACAGAAATAGAGAAGTCAGTATTTTGAAGAGGAAGATGAGAAGTTCGGTTTTGGTTACATTCATTACTTCGAGATGATGTTTATTAATAGGATTTTTTTTCCACCAATAGTACATAACCACCACCTCCACTTCTACCACCACTGCTACCTTAATCACTACCACCATTTCTACTACCAAGCCTCCAACATCATCAGCACCATCTCTATCACCTCTATCACCTCCACAGCCTCCACCACCTCCACCACCACTACCTCTATCTCCACCACATCCACCATAACCAAACAATAAAAGTAATAGCTATTGTATTTATTGAATTTGTCCTAATTTACAGGCACTGTATTAAACGCTTCTTAGTTAATCCTTATACTTAGTATTTTATAAAGTGAGGATAGGAAATCTGAGGCACAGATATTGGGTAATTTGCCTGGGATCATAAGCTAGTAGTTAAAACAGGCAGCCTTCAAACTTGAGTAATTCCGATTTCAAAGTCCATGCTTTTCCAATATCTGCTATTCTTTCAGACACAAAGACAATGATTTATAACAAATAAATATGTGTGCAATGTATGACTAACTAAGTGTGGTTAATTGGAGGCAACAAATGTTTACATTTGATAAAAACATATTTGAATCACTGGCTGGATGCACAAATAGAAGTACTCAGATCATAGCTTTAAAGATGTAAAAGTGAAAATTGAGAGAGTCAGTTACGGAGCTATAAGATTTGGGAGTCATTCACTTAGAGCCAGACTTGAATCAGTGAGAGGAGATAATTCAGATAAAGAAGTCAGAAGGGCAAAAAGATGGAATTATGAGAGACTACCATAGGAATAAGGCAAAAAGAGAAAAACAACTCAGGTAAAGAGTGGCACGGGCAGAACCTGTAGTGTGTCAGAAAAGCTGAAAAAGGAGATAATTTTTAAAAGATCAGCATTGAATAGATCATCAAGACTATAGTCATGACAGTTAAATGCTAGCAGTTCTCACATGATTGCAAGAACCTTGTCAGTTTACAATCCCTTATTTTTTTATTTTTTATTTTTTACACCTATAGCACCTGGTCTTCCTAGGTGGTTTCCCATCCAAGTACTAACCAAGCCTGACCCTGCTTAGCTTCCGAGATCAGATGGGATCAGGCTTGTTCAGGGTGGCATGGCCGTAGACCCACTTACTGAATTTAATTGCTCCTAAATGTTTGCTCCTTCTACTTTGTTCAATCTAAATTTATCAATCTAGAGTCTTACATAGAGTGTCCAAGTTATTGTACTGTCCAAATTGGGATGCATTTAAGAGTAATAGTTGGTGCTATATAAAGCTATGCTTGGGCAAAAGGTATAATTGGGATGGACACAGGCAAACCAAGACATAAGATCACCTTAGTTATACACTTACTGAATTAAAATTTACTGCATAATCCACATGCTGCAGTCAGGCTACCTTGGGTGAAATCCTGGCTCAGGCACTCTGTACTTGTGTTTGATAGTAATAATAGCCATACCTATTTTGTAGGGTTACCAGAAGAATAAATGGCCTATGCAGATAAAGCTTTTAATGTTGTGCTGAGCACATAATAAAGCCCTCAATAAGTGTTAGCTTTTATTTAAGTAACATATTCTTTATGTTCCCATTGGACATCTCATTCCAGGAACTTATGAAAACTGCTGAGAGCATATGATATAAACAGAATTTAGGAGACAAAATATTTCACCACTGTCCACACTTCCCTGAAAACATAAATTAATCAGAACACATTTTTCCTAACTAAATACATTCTCCAAACTGGAGCCAAGAATAAGCTTTTGAAGACAGAAATTGACATGAAGCAACTTGCTGTATTAGGAGACTCCTGAACATACTAGGAAGGGAAGGAAATTGGATTTCCATATTGCTGCACTGGGAAAATTGTTGGAGAGCTGTTTTGTGGTTGCAAAGGATCCACGAATCCATATGCCCACTAAACATTGTCTGTAGACACATATTTAACATGACATTATTGTTCATGCTACTAAGATTAATAAAAAGCAAATTAATTAATAGCTTTACTGATTTATTTTTGCCATTGTGTTTTTTCTCCATCGATGAATGTTAAAATTTCAACTACTATCATGAGTAGAGTCCTTGGAAGTTGTTGCTCCAGAGACAAAGCTAATATTCAAAGATTTTTGAGACTCATTTGACTGGAACAAGGATTTGCAAACTTTTTCTATAAGGGGCCAGATAGTAAATATTTTTTTACTATGTGGGTCTCTGTGATGACTACCCAACACTGCCTTTGTAATATAAAAGCAATCAAGGATGATACATAAATGGGTGTGTCTATGTTTCGATAAAATCTTATTTATGGACACTGACATTTCATTTTCATAAAATTTTCATATGTCATGAAATATTATTCTTCTTTTGATTATTTACAACCATTTAAAAATGTGAAAATAATTCTTAGCTCATGAGCCATAGGAAAACTGGCAGCAGACTGGATTTAACCTGCAGAATTAGTTTGCTGACTCCTGGATGAGAGGATTCACTCAGCCAAGAAGATAAAACCAGGAAGAAAGGCCCAGTGGTGTACTGTGGAGTTATGAAAGTAGGTTATAAATCATAGATTAATAGAGAAGTATTGAAAGTCTCAAATAAAGTATATGAGTAACTTCTCTAGGTGTTCTTCCTTTGCCTAGAACATCTGACACACTATTTTTAGATATGTGTTCTCATACTTCTATACCCTTGTATACACAAATTCTAATGTCAAGTGTTCCATGCGTTCCTAAACATATGCTGCTTAGAAACATAAGGCAGATTTTAATGTTCTTTCTCAATCTTGAATTATAATAGTTGGAATGAAAAGGAAATTGTACCATTTTTATGATTTTCATGCTGGCTCTGCATTTATGAAATTTCATTCTCATGATTTTAATATGTCCACTGATTTATATAATACCTAACTTATCTACAGTGCCTAGTTGAGAATATCCACAAAAAGACTAGTTAAAAATTCTAACGCATTCAAAATAAGACTTTATAAATATTAAAGAACAGGAAATCTGTTCTGTAATTAATGACTCCTGATTTAGGATGCGCAGATTGAGACATTATGTTCTTGTAAACTAGCAGAATGCATCTCGTCTATTATAGGTGTACTTCTTCATGAAAATGTACTTTCCATTACTGGGGGAAAAAGACATTTAATGCAAAAGTAGGCTCAGAACCAGAAAGCTCTTTAAAAGAAAAATAGCAACTTTCAGGATTAAAATATTTCCATGGCAGTTCATCACCCATGGTTTCTTCTTTCAATCCTGAAAACAGTATTTTTATTAAGCAGTCAGTTTTTGTTGGGATAGTGATTCCTTGGGCAAATTTTAAAAGTTAATTCATAATTATTCTCACTAACTTAACTGACATTACAGGCACCTGAGGCTTCTGGACATATTGCTTAAGTAGAAATAGTACCATCAAAACAGCTGAGAATGAGTTTTCCCACTAAACAATTACTCTTTGCTTAAGGATAAAGCCAGGGGTAAAATCCTCTCACCTTTTCCTAATTTCGGAATCCACAATAATCTGCCTCTTCTTTTGGGGAGGTGGTGGTGGAAATTCCTCTTGGCCATGCTTTACCAGGATTTGTTCCCTCGTAGTCACCATGGTTACTGTTTCCATTACAGTTGTCTGTGTTAGTGATGGCTGAGTGGTGGTGACAGCCTGTGAAATCTGTGAGAAGTATTGAAATAGAGGTCACACAAATGCTTGAAAGACTTCAGTAAAGACTGCTTGGAGTGGCAAAGGAAAATAATGAGAAACTGTTCCTGCTTGTTGGTAAATTGACCTTCAGATCAAAATAGCACCATACTGAACTCAAATCAAATTGTTTTATCTAAGTTAAGTTATGTTGACCGAAATCGCAAAGGAAGATAATCTCAAAACCAAAAGTAAACTTACTGCCTTCTCAATTTATTAGTCAAGCTATGGGAAATAAAGGGAGCAATGGAGACAAACTTAGAATGTCATTCTGACACTTAATTAGACATGCTGTTTAAAACATTTACAACATCGAAGTAAATTTTACTAAGGTTTCTCAGAACCAATTTCATTGCCTGGCACAAAGTAGACACTTGTTAAATAGTTTGTTGAATGCATCTTGTGACTATGGATGGTCTTGACATTTTTAAATAAAATTATTCGATCTTTATAATAAATGACTTTTTATTCAAATAAATAAAACGTCCTTTAAAATTACAATAAAAGATTAATGTAAAATGCCTATTAGTCCAGAAATAGATTTAAGCTGAATGTTACTCAAAGGCTAAAAAGCATACTACTCTTACTTGATTTAAATTAGTGAATAGTTTCCCAAATCAACAAACAAACGAAAACAGACTCACAGATATAGAGAACAAAATGATCGTTGCTAGATGAGAGCGGGCCTGGGAAGCTGGGTGAAAAGATGATGAGATTAAGAAGTACAAATTGGTAGTTACCAAATAGTCATGGGGATGTGACTACAGCATAGGGAAGATAATCAATAAGATTATAATAACTGTATAGTGTCAGGTGGGTACTAGACTAATCGGGGAGATCGCTTTGTAAATTATATAAATATATAACTACCATGCTGTACACCTAAAACTAATATAAATAATATTGAATGTCAACTCTAATTGAAAAATAATAAAAAAATAAAATAAATATTTGAGTTTCCAAAGTTAGTATTAAAGAGTCCTCTTGGTTTAAAAACACACTGACTTTCTGTTCAGACTTGTTAAAAAATATTTTAGGCACAAATCATCACTTTTTGGAATAATATAGTTTGTGATACAAGTCATGACAGGTCATTACCACAGTTAACAGGCATTGCCAGACAGACAACTCATACAATGGTGAGACACCTTCCTTCCTTCCTTCCTTAACCACCAATTCTCTGTCTCACCATTCTCCTGTTATTAGGACTAAAAAGTCACCTCCTGGGATGTTAATCATTACCCTTCTAGTAAACCAAATTATTTGGAAGACCTATTTTCAAGAAGACCAAAACAGATGTGCACTGCATCCACTTATAGGTACTTGATACGCACAGAGCCAGGGACCAGGTTAGGGCCAAGATTAGTTTTATTGATTTTTTTGAACTTGCCAGGAGATAAAGAAAGGGTTTGGGGTAACTTCCCTGCCTCATGACTGATGACTAATTCCTTCAATGGGAGAAAATCAGGGAAGCCTCAGGATCTTCATATTTCAGCTTCCAAACAGGCAATTGATGGTAATGAAGTCCTTTGTCATGATGTCTTGTGTGAAAATTATTTTTGGCAAAACATTTTAAAAGTGCTAACCTTTGTACAAGCCACATCTTTACATATGTCAAGGCCTTAGTGACTTCCATTTTGGTAGCCTTAATAGTTTTTTTAAAAAGGACATTATGAAATGCAGAGTTTCTACATGTGACAAGCACAGATTTTTATCTTCTCTAAAATGTCCATAAATTCATTACTCAGAGTCAATCACTTTGCTTCAAACAATAATTATATAGTCTGTTGACAACTTATGCCAAATGAAAGCCGAAAGTAACTATTTTTAAATGCTTAAAATATAACCTCAAATTTAATTGCACTCAACACAAAATGACCATTGCGTGATTGAATTAAGTTTACCTTTAATCAAAAAGAAAATGTAGTTTTGAAGCAGGATTCCAAGAGCATTTCATTTTCTCAGAATAATATTTTTTAACCATGAGCAAACTTTTGCATACAATGATAAACTGAAGAAAATATTGTTCAGATAGAAAATTTATAATTTTATATGTACAGGCACCAGAATGCAGAGATTCTAAAATATAATGCTATATTTTTGCGGTTCCATCTAATGTTATGGAACATTTGTGTTACTGAATATTTGGCTGTGATTTAATTTCTGTAGTTTTATATTTTCTCATTGATATCTATTATGAAATTGGATAGATGTGCCTGTGGAGGGTAGAGGAAAGGGAAATGGCAAAATGATATACTATGAAATTGCATTTAAGAATATAGCAAACCTTATAATAAAAAATAATAATTTTTAATAAAATAGACAAGGATCTGTAACTTTTCTATACTATATTCATTACTGTACTATAATTGAAAATACTACTTAATTTCCCTTGAGATGAAGAAATAAGAAAACAAATATGCATTGACCCTAATAAACGGGGTATAATTAGTTATATATAACAAATTTATAATTACTTTCAACACTTATTCCATATAATAAAAATAAAAGACAACTGGACATGTACTAAATATCTCCACGTTTTTTATTGATCATAAACAATTATATGTTAGAATCATTAAAAATATAGACAGGAAGGGATTATGGAGGTGATTTAGCATAACCGCCTACTTACTTTAGGATTCCATACTGCCAGAAGCAGACAACTTCCTGAATGTGGCACCAAATTTTCCCAATGAAAAAGATCTTTACACTTAGTGGGAACCTGACTTATTATGACTTCATTCATTTAAAATTTATTTTGAACACTAAGCCAACACAGAATAAATTGAGTATTGTTTCTGCCTGTCTTAAAGATGTAAAGCTTGATTATCATGATTCTGATAAATCTTTATTTCCAAGCACTATAAGACCAGGTACTTGCTAGAATTAGATTTAATCTGATTACTGCTCCAAAACCTAGGTTTCCTACTTTGGACACCATATTCAATTAAAGTCATCTAAAATTTTGTAAGTTACTCAGCACCTGAATCACAATATTTCAATTAAATTCTGACAGGTATTGACGATATAGCACTACAGGACAATTAGAAATGAATAAAATGAAACCTCTTTTTTGGAGGACCTAACAGTCTAGTAATGAAGGTGTCGACCACAATAATAGTTGTGAGATAAGGTGAGTGCCACATGAAAATATATGAGTATGCAAAATAATTACATGCACTGAGTATATAGTAATCAAGAAAGTTTCTTTTTAAATGTTAAAGGCAAGGGAAGTAAAAGCAAAAATAAATGTATAGGACTATATCAAACTGAAAAGCTTCTGCACAGCAAAAGAAATGGTCAATGAAGCAAAGAGGCAACCATCTGAATGGGAGAAGATATTTGCAATGGCTCCAATAAGAAGCTAAAATTAAAAATATGGAAGGAACTCATACAAGTCAATAACAACAACAAAAAAAACCAAACAATCCAATCAAAACATAGGCAGAGGACCCGAATGGACACTTCTCCCAAGAAGACATACAAATGGCCAGCAAATATATGAAAAGATGCTCCACTTCATTAACTATTAGGGAATGCTATTAGCTATTATGCAAATCAAAACCACAATGAGATACCATCTCACACATGTTAGAATAGCTGTTATCAACAATACAAGTAATAACAAGTGTTGAAGAGGATGTGGAGAAATAGGAACCCTCATGCACTGCTGGTAGGACTGCAAATTGGTATAGCCACTGTGGAAAATAGTATGAAGTTTCCTCAAAAAACTAATTGAACTACCATATGATCCAGCAATTTCTCTACTGGGTATTTACCCCCAAAGACTTGAAAACACATATCTGAAAAGATATTTGCACACTGATGTTCATAGCGGCATTATTCATGGTGACCAGGACATGAAAGCAACCGAAGTGTCCTACGATAGATAATTGGATAAAGAAGCTGTGGTACATATATACAATGGAATATTACTCAGCCATAAGAAGAGATGAAATACTGCCATTTGTGATAACATGAATGGACCTCGAGATAATCATGCTAAGTGAAATAAGCCAGGCAGAAAAAGTTGAAAATCACATGATATAACTCATATGTGGGATATAAATCTGAAAGCAACAAACAAACATGACAAACAGACTCATGCACATGGACAGTGGACTAGTGGCTACCAGAGAGAAAAGGGGAGGGGGAGGTAGATGGGAGTAAAAAGGGACAAATAAGTGGTGACAGAAAGAAATCTAACTTTGGGTTAGACACAAATGCGATATATATACAACATACTGTTGAATTTTCCACTTGAAAATTATTGGATTTTGTTGATCAATGTGGCCCTAGTCATTTTTAATTTTTAATAACAAAAAAGTAAAAAAAAATAAAAATAAAAAAATAGAAAATAAATAAATGTTACAAAATCAAATTTCCCTCAGCCAGTACCTTAATGTTTAAATTTATTATGATACTAAAGGCTGCATATAACATTTATCCTTGTTCATAGGATCATTTATAACGGTAAAATACCAGAAACAGCCCAATGTCAGTAGATGATGGTTTAAATAAAGTATAGTATGTGCATGTGATAAAGTATTGTACATGTTTCAAATATTTTTAAATGTCATTGAAACTGTTTACATTATAATACTGAATAAACGATGCAAGATATAAACATTGGTAGTTATATTTTGGCAGAGAAAGCATAGATAACTTCTATTATGCACTATATATTTCTGCATTCTTTCTATTTTCCAACTTTCTACAACAAAATGTTTCCTGCAAAACGTTGCTTTTATAAACAGAGAAAATTTTCAAACTTTTTTCTAAATTGTTGTTTTAATTCTATCATTCCTATGTATCTTTAGAATTATGAGCCTGTCATTCAAATACATTAAAATTAGGACAAATAAATATCTGATAAAGATGACTTACTGCCTTCACTAAAATGGTGAATAGGGCAAGGCCAAAATTAGAATATAATATAGTTTGAGCTATATTCAACAAACTTTGAGTCT